TTATATGCGAAAAAATAGAAAAAAAATGATTTTTTTTAAAATTCCAAAAATATTTGGTCTTTAGTTTGATTTTTAGTTTGGTTACTTGTGTGGGTTAGTTAGCGTTGCCGACTATGATGTAATATTTAATACTATGTGTTAGTTTATGAATTATGAATATGTTACATACTTAAATTAATTGATACTTATCCATGTAGAATTTGATATTTATTGAGTACTTGAATTAAGTTTTGCATTGTAAAGGAATCGGTTGATTCATATGGCTTGATAGGTTAGAATACTGGAACTTAGATACTAAACCCGAACACCACTATATAATACATCCTTAAACCAAATATTAGTATAGTTTGGGATGATCGAAATGTTGTAGGGAAATATTGAGATGAATGGAGATTCTGTATATAAAATCTTGTGTGGATTTTTTGAGGCCTACAAGATGAAAACCAGTTGAAAATCTTAAGTTAGAAGTTGTTTTTGATGATGAGTGTTTAATTATGGGCATTGCACTAATCATTGTATATAAAAAGGAAAATGTTGCAATGATTCATGAGTAAAAACTACCTTATAAAAGATCTCAACGAGGATACTTATTGAAAATATTAAAAAAAAAAAAAAAACTTAAAAATGGATCAAGTTAGTGCATGGAACATAATATATACAACAAATTTGAGAAGGCGGGTGCATGAAATAGAAGACAAATTATGTGCATTTATTAAGTCTCAAACACTTAACAATTTTTAACCTATTTGATTCTGGAAGGTTGAAGCAATCAAAATAAAATAGAATCCTCATTTGTTTAAATATTAACTTACAATTAGTGAAATCTATTGAAACTAGAGAATGTGAGGATTGATATATTTATTCAACCTTAGATCATACCTTGAGAATAAGAATTAAAAGAATAAGTTTGGGGTGTGTATCTCACGAGTGAAGAAATGATATATTTGACCATTGAAAATCAAGAGTTGAAACAACTTGTGAATTTCTAATGTTTTACTCAATTCTTCACACACACAAAAATCAGTTTTACATTAGATAAGGGAAAATTGGTTTTTGTATTGTAATTTTGAAGTTCATAAATTTAAATACAATAATTTCAATCATAGATAAATACAAGTTACATGACCAAATTTGTTGCATTACTTGATCGATTGGCAAACAATTAGGTAATTAGTAGTTGTATGCTTACTTGTTGAGATATGTTATAGTTTTGCTTGAGAACGAACAAATGTTTAAGATTGAGGATGTTTGATAAGTATAATTTATACACTGATTTAAGCTTTGAAATATGAATATTTCATAGAACTTTTGATCAATTAGGGCTTAATCTTGAGTGGTTATTATTTGTTAGGTGAAAATTAGTAATTGGACGTGAACTTGGGAAAAAGAAACGAAAATCGACTAAAAAGGACGATTTTCAAAGTGTGGAGAATAAATTATAAGTCTCTTCTAGTTGATTCGAACTACAAAATGTTGATTAATGGTATACGAGACCAACTGGATGAGATTTGAAGTCAAATGATGAAATTGCATGAAAAAAAGACCAATAATACCTTGGAAGAAGTTTAGAGCTTGAATCACTTTTCCATGCATGGACATGGGATATGCCATATGCACACAGAGTACAATTTCTGACTAGACGAGACAATTTTCCTTATTTCACTCAAACTCTTTTGGAACCCAGTTTGAACATTTTCTAGACCTAATTTCCCGATATATTAATACAAACAAGGGCTAAACATCGGCGAGCTCTCCCTAGCCTCTCATACCACATCATATCAAAAAGTTAATCAAGAAGAAGAGACAAATTCACATCTTTTTGGAGAGAGACCAAACCTAGCAACAAATGAAGGCTCGTTACATCAAAAACTTGAAAATTTAGAATTTGAAATTGAAGATCATGACTTTTTGTATTCATTCATGTTCAAGGTGACATCTTATTATTATTATTATTATTATTATTATTATTATTATTATTATTATTATTATTATTCTTCTTCTTCTTCTTCTTCTTCTTCTTCTTCTTCTTCTTATAATATTATAGAAATTATGTTAGGCTAAATCATTATTTGTATTGGATAAAGATGAAACCTATGTTTGGACAATAGGTTTCATCTTTAAATGTTTGGAATTATCAACCTATATAAATGTTTGGAATAACATATATGGCGTGTGCAATCATTAATATAATCAAGTAATTGAATGTGTACTTGTATATAAATTCGGACTAAGAATAAGATCGAATCGCGCTTATAATAGATTTAACTTCAAAAGAGATAATTAAATAAAATTGGATTATCGATAGTCATGAATACACAAATCACAATAAATTATATAGGTTGGATATTATAGGTGGATTCAAAATTCCAACACAATAATTCCCATATTTATTTAAAAATAATTTAGATAAATAAACATATATCTCTTTTGTTATGTTACATTTGAATTTAATAATGGGTTGATATAATTCAATTTAAAACTTGTTTCATGTAGGACGATACTCTCGATTAATCACATTATTATTTGTCAACTTGCAATTTTTTGCACAAATAATTTATAAAATTTTGATATAAGTAGCATGAATAATATTATAATTTCATTGTGGATTAAGTTTAGCAGTCATCGAAAACCTATTCCGTCTTTTACCCTTTCTAAAATACACTGTTATTTGTAATAAACCTTGACGAATGACTCATACTCTCAAATGATCTCGTAACTTATATTTCAATTTTTAACTTTGAGTTATATTTATGCTTCATCTTTTTGTTTAAAAATTAATTAATATTGTTTAAATTTCTGATTCGGTAATGACCCATTAATTCAACAGCTATCCACCATTTTAGTGCTTTGGCCAAGTCTATTAACTACAAAATGTAAATGTTGATCGAAACTACAAATCATCTTGTTGTATCATGAAAAGCTACAATATTTTTAAATTATTAATTATATAACCATTTTTCCAATTATAACAAAGCTTGAAAGAAAATTGTTTACAATGTATCAAATTTACCTCTATTCAATCCAAGGCTAAAAGCATTTTTTTAGGAAGGGTTTATAAACAATTTTCTTTATAAGTGGATAAAAAATTCTTTGAATATTTATAAATATGATTCAAAGCTAAGAATTGAATACTTCAAAGAAAAACCAATGTACAAACATAATATGTTTATTTGTCATTTTCGTAATGTCAAAGAAAATAAATAGATCGTTTTCACATTATGACACAATGAAAGAAAAAATGAGATCTGATAAATTTCTCCAATCAAATGTACATCATACAATTTCGAGAGAGAGAGAGAGAGAGAGAGAATTTTGGGAAATTTATGACCAAGTCTATGAATTAATTTACTTGCACAATGATGGTTGACAATTTTTGATGTGGCAAAATTTGGACAATTGATTTAAAAAACAGTTTTTGATTTTTTTTTTTTTTAAATGAATGAATGTGATAATGCCAAATCATGATTGTCAACTATCATTGTACATGTAGCATGATTGTCAAGCCTATTTTACATCCCATTTATTTCTTTATTTATGTTTTTCTCTTGTTCATGTCATTATTTTATTTTAGAGTAATACTATCTGTACATTATTGTGTACATAATGATGTACATGTACATATAAATAACATCAAAAAGAGAGAAATTTACTAATAATTGAGTTTTTTTTCTCTTTTTCACTCTCTTCCAAGTCGTCTGTCCGTATACAATTATTTACAAAATAATATACAAACAACATTACTTTTTTATCTTATCCATTCTCCAACTACAAGGAGATGTATTGAAATACACTCCTTTGAAGACAGCCACTTCTAAAGATAGAACTCCGATTTTTTTGACTAGACTAACCATTTGTGATTAAAAAAATAATCTCTTAACAATTTAACTTAATTACTTATTCTTAAGTCTACAAATAAGCTATGTTTTAAGCTTAGTTAAACATGCGACTAACCATTATTGCCATAAAAATTGACGCCAACTAGGAAAAACTAACACTTTTTAAATTAATAAATTGATGATATTAATTAGCCATACATTTATGAGTACCATCGATTTAGAATTAATGAATCATTTAATGTTATAGCACAATGTGTCTAAAAAATAATCGCGTTGTATTTGATATTGTATTCATACCACAATTTTTATTTCTTGAACCACGTTTTCATTACATTTAAAATTCTTAATCTTTGTTTATTATAGCACTTATATCCCTAATAATTTTTCATGTCATTCTTATTTTCAAACTTTTCATTAGTTAACATGCTTTGTATTTAATAAAATTTTTATGCCCAAATATTCGATGAAATGGAGTAAAATAACTTATTTTTCATCATATTTTTTAAAATTAAATAAATAAAAAGTGCTTAAAATATTTTTCCTACATTTCAAAACATGAAAACAAAATATTTTAATATACATCATCATGAAGGACGAGACGTATTAATTAATGAAATGTTGAAAATAAGAATTCGACGAAAAAAGTTAAAGAAATAATTACTACGATGAACAAAAATTGGAGTCAAATTTTTAATTTCAGGGTTGACTGAAGGATTAATGGTTGAATTCTGTCCAATGGTCTTCGACTGTAATCAAGGTGAAAGGTTTGAGACTATGGCAACAAAATAAAAATTTAAGATGTAGTTTGCAATAAATTGAAAGGTTTGGGACCTCCTCTGCAATTTTTCCTTTAATAAATTCTTGAAACAGGAAAATTAATTGAAGTTTCCATTTGTAATTTGAAAAACCAAATTACCCTAACAAAAAGTCAAACTTCCAGACAGTTTCCCTTGAATTTTACGATACCTCCTCCCTCTCTCTCTCTCTCTCTCTCTCTCTGCGTGTTTCTTCATATATACATATTATTCTTCCCTAAAATCTATTTCCCCTCAGTCTCATCCTCCTCCCTCCTCCTCCTCCTCCTCCTCTTCCGTATCGGTCGCGCACTCTCAACCACCATCCGCCACCAGTATAGAAATTTTATGCTAAATCTTTCTTGATCCAATGAAAACCTCCGGCATAGGCTTTTTCCAACATGGGTTCGTTGTTTTTATTTCCGTTGTCGTCCTCTTGCTATATTCAGAAATTGCCATGGTTGAAGCTCAGTCGACTCCGCCTGGTGACAACAACAACGGGTACCCATATGCAAAGTTCAGTCCATCCATGGCGATTATCATAGTAGTCCTCATAGCAGCACTTTTCTTCATGGGTTTTTTTTCTATCTACATCCGCCACTGCTCCGACACTTCCGGTGCGGCCGGAAGCGTCCGTCGAGCACTTTCTATGCGATCCCGTCGTGCAGCAGCCGCGCGTGGACTCGACGCTTCCATCTTAGAAACTTTTCCCACTTTCTCATACTCAGAAGTGAAGGATCACAAGATTGGAAAAGGAGCTTTGGAGTGTGCTGTGTGTTTGAATGAATTTGAAGATGATGAGACTATTCGTTTGATACCAAAGTGTGATCATGTCTTCCATTCTCAGTGCATCGATGCCTGGCTCGAGTCTCACGTCACTTGCCCTGTTTGTAGAGCTAATTTGGTTCCTGTGTCGACCGATGGGCAGACACAGGAGCCGGAGTCGATTAACGCTAATGAAGAGAGCAATGAAAACGTGGAAAGAATCAACAGTTCAAGAAATGAGGAACAAGTTGTTATCCAAGTTGAAAGCAGCAATGAAAATCAGCCACAAGGGCAAGAGGGTGCTGCTAGACCGGGAATGATGAACCGGAACTCGAGTTTACAATACCCCAACCGGCCACCAAGGTCGTGGTCCATACGAAGGCCGAAAATGTTTGGACTAGTTAAGTTTAGATCACACTCTACTGGTCACTCCCTGTCTTTGGTTCTACCGGGAGAAAATCTTGACCGCTTCACTTTGAAATTACCGGAACAAGTTAGGAAAGAGGTTATGAGCCGGGCTATGTTAAATAGGACTAAAAGTTGTGCCACAACATTACCTCGAGAAGGAAGTTCAAGAAGGGGTGGGAGGTTTTATCAGAGGATCGAAAGGCCAGAACTAGGAGAAAAATCAGACAGGTGGAAGTTTACTAGGGCGTCGTCTTTTTTCTCGAGAGCATTGTCAATGAGAACACCAAGAGTGGAGGCAGAAAATGGAGAAGGATCCACCTCTATGAGTGGCAGAACGCCAGTAAAAATGCCGTCCTTCAAGTGTTTGGAGTCCAAGGCTGCTGATGAAACTCATCTAGTTTCGGCTGACTCGGTTCGCCCTCCGGTTTAAACGCGTCAACCGGTCTTATCTCCGGTCAATTTTGGCGAAAACGCGTCTTTCATCCCGACTGCAAAGTCTTGGGCGGCTGGGACCCACAGTGGAAAAAAATATTTTATTTGTTGCACAAGTTTGAGTTGAATATTCAACGCTAAGAAATAAACTATTGTAAAATATTTTTTGTATGCCAATTATTATTATTTTTTAAAAAAAAATTTTCTTCACTTCAATAAGAAATTATTTCTTGTTGTAAAGGGCATGATTGTAATTATAAAGGCATTTTTGTTTAGATAACAGTTTCATTCCGCACAAAATTGTAAATATTTTAATTTAAATTAAAGTTAATAATTAATTCTAATAATATATTTTATGAGAATCGCAACTTTTCAAATTTCATCAACTTTTATCAAAATTTACTAAAATTTTAATTTTAATCTATTGATCTTCCAACAATTCCTTTGTTTTCTAATGGCCCCCAATTTTTTTTGAAAATTGAGAAGCTCGGTGATGGGTTTTATGTATGCTAAAATTTGGTAATTTCACAAAATGTTCATTAAAAAAGTGAATAAAAGTTGTTTATCTAATAAAATGTGTTGTTAAAAATAATGTTTGACTACCTTTTTAACAAACAAAATTGGAAAGTTAACTTTTTTTTTAAACCTCATTTTAGAGAAAAGCCATTTTAAACTATGTATATATTGTAAGAGTGATGGTGACATTTTGTCTATAAATTTTAACTCTATTATTCAACTAATTATACGAGTCTTTATTATCAAAATTACTTAAATGAACATTCATTAAAATTTCTTTTTTTTTAAAGTACCTTTATGCATATGACTGATCTTTAGACCACAGTGGATAGGAGATATATTGCACATCAATGAGATGGATCTTGCCACCTCATCGATATTTTAGATCCTACCGATGAAGTAGTAAGACACCATCAATCATGCCTTTATTTATTGTCATTAGAGTAGTAACGCATGTTGCGATCACAATTCTATTGAATTAATTTCAAAGTGGATTCTTGACGTATACGACGGAGCGCGGGGATGTTTGTAGCGATTGAGGGGGTGAAAAGCCAAGAAGTGAGTTATTAATACTAAGCATACTTTTTACGACTAGATTCAATCTTATTGTCCTTGTGGGAAGAAAAAAGAATTTCAAGTTCTTCCTTTCGAATTGGGAGGATTAAGAAAATTCTCTTGATTGTAGCTTTTTCTAGAACAACTCTTATTAGTTGCGCAAAAGGAATGGAATCACAGGTGCATTATCCTCTTTAAAATCATGAGGTTAAATTCACAATTATAGGGACAACAACAAACCGGATATTTTTGTTACCTTAACCCATCTCCATACCCGTTTAAAGTGAGATGGGGCGGGGCGGGCCCCCTGCCCCCATTATTGCCCTTTTTATTTATTTATTTATATTTTTGCTTAGTAAATATTATTATTCTTTTACCAATTTGCTAGAAACAACTTATGTTCTCTTTAAAAATATGATAAATCGATTATTTTTATTTAATAAAAACCTTAAATTTAAAATTAACTTTAAACGGGACGAGTAGCGGGAATGTGACTATGATTCCGTACCCATCCCTATTTACAAACATGTGATCCAAAAGGCGTCGTGTACTAGTGGTGGACAAAATAGTGAGCCTAACGGCCTCATCCGCAGTATTTGGCCTTAGTGGGTTCCACAATTAGGCTATTAATTTTTTTTTTTTTTTTTTTAATCTTTACGTCTAAAAATAGATATAATTTGAAAAACATTTGAACATTATTAAAAGTCACATTCTTTGTTAATTTTCTCACTTTACAAAATACAAATTTATTTTTTACGATGAACATGATAACATAAATTTAAAATTTAATTTAACTTAATTAAATTCTTGTTTAAACATTACTATAGTAAATCACATTTTTCTTGGATTTTAAAGGTTAACGATGAGAAGCTTTTTTTCCTGGATTTTAAAGGTTATGGTGAGAAAATCATGTATAGTCATCATTTGTGCTCCATTCTTTAAAAATTCATCCTAATATAATAATTTTGCAGGTAAATTTAAAAAAAAAAAATTCTAATTTTTTAACGTTACATTCGACCAAAAAAAAAAAATTACAATTAAGGCTCAAGAATTAAACATGATATTTTAAAAAGAACCATATTTTCAAAAAGTCAAATTTGGTGTTTGAAACTAAGATTTATATACTTTTGACAAAAATTACGAAGTATGCAATATCGACTATAGGAGTGAAATAAAATAAAAGTGTATTCAAATTTCAATTTCAATTTCATACAAAGAAGCATAAGTGGACAAAGACTTTTGAAGTGTTCCACGCATTCTAGAAGTACTGTCATCTAGAATAGTTTTAAAGATGGCCCAAGGGAAATGACGGTCAATATAATCTGATGCTTATTCTAATATTCAATAGCAGAGGATAATATATAGAGGAAATTCACACCCAAAAAAGTGGACATGAAGTTTACACTTGTTATATTCCCCTCCAAAACCAAATGTTGTACTTATTGATAATATTGAGTCTACATCCCAAATTTTAAATAATGAGCATAATTTTCAAATTATACAATCAAAACGATGTGTCTTATTGATAATATTGAGTCTACATCCCAAATTTTTGATAAATATTAGTTGGGATGACGATGAATGATTTAACATAATTGATCTTTATGTGCCTCCAATTAATTTTTAAATCATTATTATTGAGAACAAACTAATTCCAATTTATATCTAAGGAATGTTATTTTATATGCAACGGGACTTTCAACACCATGCCAACATCAAAGTTCTCTTCACTATATTTGAATTACGGTCAAAGCTTAATATTTTCCATCTAATGTATTTGACAAGTAAAATAGTCATCAAAGGAGAGTGTTGTAAATTTATGAGATAATTATTGTTGACTATTTAATTTTATGAGAATACACACAATGTTCACATTGTAGCTCTCATTTGAATCATATAAAAATGGGTCATTGTTGTAATAAAATATTTGAGTTTTGACTTTCTCTATTTCTTCTCTTATATTTCTCAATTGTCCTTTACTTTAATAACATATATTATATTTTAACCTTATGTAAATTTACTTAAATAGATAAGAATAAATCAAAATAAAATTTATTATTCTAAATTCATCCACTAATACTTATAAATACTTTTGAAAATTTTATATTATTTTAGACTTTACATTTAATTAAAATGTAGACTTGTCAGAATGCGGTTTTAAATGTATAGGTTTGATTCGCGTGACCTCAAGTGCTGGATCGAATAAATACTCAATTGCGTCATCACGACAACATGGATATCCAACATTTGTATCTATTCTTTCTCAGTTCATGGAGTTTAGAAGCTTAGTGGAGAATTTTATTTAGAGAGGAAAGGTGAAGAAAACTATGTTTAGCCTGCTTTGAGTAAACTTGCGATTCATTTAAGCAAAAAATTCTTTACATCGAGGAGGGAATGAATCCAGACAACCAAAGACTCAACCACTGCAACATTATCCTCATTAGACACGATTCATATACTACTCTTTGTGGCATATGCATTAATGATTTTTTAACTAGCCAAAGGTTGCCTTCGTAATGGAAACGTCCTCAGTCATTTGTTAGCTTGGAGAGATATTATGAGATCGACGTAAACATTATTAGTAGCCTTTCTCTTGAGTGTGACAAGCATTCATTTTTCCCTTTGGCTCTATTGAAAATCATTTTAAGTCGAGTTTCCCCTTACAACTTCTTCTAGGCGTCTATTAGTGTTCTGGGAAATTTAATAACTTATTTAAACTACCCAAAACTATAGTATATAACATAAGAATTTTAAATTCCGTCAAACCTAACATGGAAATTATTGGAAGAGCGGCTAGGGTGGGAAATGAATAAGAATATAATTTCATAGGAGGAGATGACATCCGGAACGACCAATCTATGGATATACAGCATTCTGCGTAGAATGATGTCAGGAAAGCTTGAATAAGAATAATTGATTAAATAGCTGTGATTAGGCCTTTAGACTCTTCCTGCTGTCGGCATTATCTGTTATCAAGGCAAACTTCATGTGGTAATGGAAAGAACCGATTTCTCCAACAAACGTGTCATCAATACCATTTCTCAAAGATCATGATGCCAAGAGCATTTTAGAAAACTTTTGACTCTTACATAATAGAGGCAGAAGAAGATTAGGCAAGAGTGAAACACCTCTCATGAGAACGAAGAAACAAAGGCTAGATTGACTAGCTAGTTTGGTTGGTATCCATGGATACCTCCTTTTTAGCTCATACAAAAAGCCCATATGGATGATGATTGAAGCATATGTCATCAACATATTGCCTCAAGCGAAGCTTAATTTTCTTTGTCCATACTAGGTATTGTATAAGAGAGGGCCAACTCTTTCACATTTCAAAGTATCTAGTATTTTACACTAGGCTTGATTTTGATGTACCATGAGTTGATGTCGTCAGAACTATTCTTATAGGATCGGACTCGAGAAAAACTATTCCACACTTGGGAAAGCAAAGACCTAAAGCAAGCTAAGCCCTTTTCTTCATTTTCAGCCTTTTTCCCTATGGAACACTCAAAGTGAATCTCATACCTTCAGTACGAGGACTTGAAGAACTGATAGCCTTTTAGGAACAGAAGTAGGAACAAAAAGAGGATCTTGTTTTCGGTGTGATCTATCTCCATGAACGAATCAAAATGGAAGAGACAAGGGTAGAATGGAGGATAGTTCATTCATGACAAGGGCATTCGCTAAGCAACCAAGCTGAAATCAAATACCCGGCTTTGTCATATCTCCAAATTTTGGTTAATATTATGCATTCCTTACCTTTGCGTACCACTTGTAGCATCAGAGAATGGGAGAGAAAGTCCCCAAGTCGCTCTTTCATTTTCGACGCCAAGTTGAGTACAAAGTGTTGACCTAAAAAAATGAGCCAACAGAAACCCTTCTACCTCCTCTCCAGGTAGACATCACTTGCACACTGGAATATCCTGTTAG